CAGGTTGCCCCCTTCCACTAAAATCTGAAATGGTGCCCCTGCTCCATTCCCTCCCTAAAGAGTACCTTTCCCCCCAAATCCCTCACTCCCTGCCATATGCCCCCACATTCCCAGCCCCTCTGCCCTGATTCCTGCACCGCTCCACACACACTCCAATTTTCTGCCAAGTCCCTCCTCACACTCCCAACCGCCCAACCCTGACTCCTGCCCCCTTCCACTAAAATCTGAAATGGTGCCCCTGCTCCATTCCCTCCCTAAAGAGTACCTTTCCCCCCAAATCCCTCACTCCCTGCCATATGCCCCCACATTCCCAGCCCCTCTGCCCTGATTCCTGCACCGCTCCACACACACTCCAATTTTCTGCCAAGTCCCTCCTCACACTCCCAACCGCCCAACCCTGACTCCTGCGCCCCCCCCCCCCACATCCCTACCCCTGCCCTGAGCCTCCCACACTTACGTTTCTTACAAATACTATCATATCACCCTCTCAGACTTTCACTCTGCCCCTCCCCCCAGGGATATACCAGAACATGTAAGAAATTTAAGTTATCTGACTATAGCACTTGACATTTGCCCCCCCCCCCATGTGGGAAATTTCTGTGGCCTTCTCTCTACTTGTTGGGATTTAGCACCCCCTTTTGACTGGAACCCCCTTTTGACTGGAAATGCAAAGAAAGGGGAATGGAGAGCTGTTTCTCATGAATACCCCACTGGCTTGCTGAGTGACCAAGAATACACAGTGCTAGAGATATAGGGCAGTTTGAATTACAGACTAGAGTGCTCAGAATTTGGCCTCAGATTCCTTGTAGCAAATATCCAAGACCAGCTGCCAAAGTACATTCTGTGCAACCTGAGAGGCAGCTGTACTTTCTGCCAGGTACTGGAACTCAGAGCACATTTGGCTGGGCACTTCTTTCTAGCTTGCTCTTTTCTTCTGACAGGAAAGAAACCTCTCTCCCCTCACCTCCCCCCATACTGAGTGAGGGAAAGCAACACTGGCTGCCCTAGCCTCAGAAGGGAAAGCCTGGGGTGATTTTGGAGGAGAATCACACTGGGAGCTCTGCACTGACTACTGGGGTCCAGGGAAAATTAGAGGAGTGTGGGGAGGGGGGATTTGGTCCTAAAAGATCAGTCTATTCGGCCCCCTCTCACGCACCCACACTCTTCTAATTTTCCCTGGACCCCAGTAGTTTTATTTAGTTGTTGTGGAGCAAGCCATGCAAGAAGGAAAAGCTCTGTGGAGAGTGAGGGCAGGAACAGCTGGAGTTTTCCTTGCAAGAGGGCGGGGAGCTGGGGAGGCTGCTTAGCGGTATCTTGAGTGCCCAGAGCACCTTGGCAGCTTGTGCTGCACCCTGCAGTCTCAAAGGTCGCTGATGATAAACATAGGGCCCTCTCTTCCCTCCCCTCCCCTCCTCCCCCTTGGCTGCGACGGCTTTGCTGTGGCAGTCAGGGGTTTTTTTGCACGCTGGAGGAAGCAGTAGCGAGCAATTTGCTAGACGGAGGGGGACGCTGCTGCCTTGGCCGGACCCGCTGCTGCAAGCTTGTGTCTCTCTCTGGCTGTGACACAATAACAAGGCAGTCGGTGGGGTCCCTCCAGAAGGGAAAGGTGACCTGCGCAATTAAGGTAAGGGAGAGGGAGGCGCGGAGCTTCTGGGAGGCGCTGGCCGTGCCCCCCTGAAAGAAGCAGCCGGGGAAGGCAGGCTCTTGCAACGGGAGCAGAAGGCGTATTTCCTTTGAGCTGTCAGAAATAAAGCGCGTGCCTCGCCGCAGGGCTTGGGAGGCGTGTTTTGGGCAGCGCCGGGCAAAAGGGGGGCTGCAAAACGAAGAGCTTTGCAGCGCCGGGAAACCTAATCAAACGGCCGGATCGATGGGGCTTGGTTAACCCGGGGCGCAATTCCCTTGTGCGCGGCAGGCGAAGGGTATGCGGGGTTCCTGGGTTTGCAGGGGAGGGAGGGAATCTGGACTGGGCTTGGGGTTTCATGTGTTTGTGTTGTCACTTAACCCAGCCGGCTGAGCACGTGAGACCAGCTCCGTCCTGCAGTGCTGAGAGCCGCAGCCTCCCTAACCCTGTTGTGTTGTGTCCGCCCGGCAGGCAGCGATGGAGGAGGACTTGGACAGCATGCAGCAGAAGGCTGCTGAATTGGAGCACATGGCCGAGGTCTTACTGACTGGGGAGCAGTTACGGTAGGAGACGGCTCCTTCCTCCCGCCCCGCACAAACGTTACTACAGACTCGAAAAGGAGAAACGGACTCCTTTGCTCCTGTATGTAAGGAAATGGCTGTCAAAGAGCCATGTTTTGGCTTCACAGGGGCGTGAATCTGGACTGACTCCATTGAAATCAGCGGCTCAAATTTTACTCTCGGTTGCACAGGTGCAACCCGATTGGCTCTGATTCTGGTCTCTCTTCTGATTTACACCAGTAGAACGCCACCGATGTCAATCGTGTAAAGGGGTGTAAGTGGTGAACCGCAACCTTTGCGATCTTGTGTGCCTCACTCGCTCTCACAGGAGGAGTCCCGTGACATTTTAAAGACTTAACAGATTTATTTGGGTTGCTGGGCATAAACTTTTGTGGGTAAAAACCCCTTGGTCGAATGCATCTGACAAAGTGATTTTGTTCCCACGAAAGCTTATGGCCAAATAAATCTGTTAGTCTTTAAGGTGCCATGGTGTTTTTGCAGATATACATTCGGACGTCTCTTTAAAACGGAATTATTAGTGTACACACATCTTTCAGACCTGCTAAACCTCTCATTTGGGATTAGTTGTTGCTCATCCCTCCTGCAAATGAAGGGTTCCACTTAGATTCTTAAAAACTCCCACTTTTAGCTTGACAGCTGGTCAGCACTGCTGTTACAGCTAGGAATTGGGCTATATATTCATAGTACTGCAGACACTGGATAATGAGTTATCCCCTGCAATATTTACGGATGCAATATTTACAGTCCAGGGGCAGCTTTCTGTTACATTCTGTTTAGGGTCTTCTAATTTGGTCATTGCCATGATAGTTAAGGATTCTGGGTAAGGTGACAGCAAGCCAGCAAAGGGGGATTTAAAAGGAAACAGCTGAAGAGGAATAATTTAAAATCAGATTTTTATAAACTTCTGTTCTAGCCCTTCAAGCATGATGATTGGTGCTGTAAAAATGATTAAGTTAGATGATGGATAGAATAGGTCTTCATTAAGATCCAGGGTTTTGCAGTCTCTTATAATAATGCAGAAAGACTTTGGGTGTAACACTGTTCTTTTTATAATAGATGTTGAATTTGCTGATCAACTTCCTGTGTATTATACACCATAAAGAAGAATATTTTAAAGTTTCCAAATTCTCTCTATAAATCTGTGGCTAAGGAAACACAGAATATGGTACATTAGTGATATAATTAGAAAGTGGTAACAGAAGTGTTTGGCCAGAAGTTCTTAAATTATTTGCTGAAAATTTGAAAGTGCAGGTTTAACATTTTCCATTCAGAATTTTGAAAATATTGCTTGATCTGGGAGCTATTAAGCTGAGAACCAAAGTTTCTTTATTTCATCTTAATAGAAGTTAAATATTCAGACTAACAAAGTTATTGGAAGTTGGACCTCTACAGTCCAGACTTCCATAGTCTGGCAACATCTGTGTCTGGCAGCCCTGTGGTTGCTCCCGGGCTGGAGCGCTCATGGGGAATAGTTGGGTACTGCACTCAGCAAATACTGCCCCACCTTCCTAGAGCTTCCAGAGCACAGTAAATAGCTCATAGTAGGGGGGGGGGGGGGGGGAGGGGGGGGGGGGGGGGGGGGGGAGGGGAGAGATTCTCAGGCAAAGTGGGCAGGGTGTCTGCAGAGCCCCTGGGGCTGAGCTCCTGGTCCCCCAGCTGTGGGCCTCTGCAGCTGCCCTATCTCTTCCCCCAAGCTGCACCCCTCCCAGTCCCTGCTCAGTCCCTTCTGCTGCTGCTGGAGCAGACCTCCACAACCAGAGAGCTTGGCATTGACCTCCCTTGGTCCAGCAGATTCCCTGGTTCAGCAACCTGCATTAAGATCAGTTTATATTTTACGTTTGTTTATGCCATTGGCAGTTAAACTATGAAAAAAATAGTACTAAAGCAAAGTGTTTAGGAAACCTTTTCAGTTTTGAGCTGCTACCTTAGAAGACATTTTCATGGCTAGTAGTTGGATTTTGGTTACTTATGCTGGCCAGCTCCTCAGGTGGCTTAAACTGGTGTAGGTCCAGTGTCAGTGAAGCACTGCTGACTTGCGTCAGAAGAAAATCTGGCCCATGGACTTGAGTTCTTATTCTAAACTGATACATATAAATTTTCTTAGCAATTAGCTTAGGAATCTTAGCTTCCGCTGTTAGGTTCAAGGTGCTTAAGTGCTTAAAGAGGCAGATACGAATTAGGCAGCTAGGCTGTCTTGAAAATGCCACCAGAAGCTTCTCTCTGGTACTAAGCACCTAAATATGTTTAAAAGTCTGGCCCTTGGAGACTCACTGAGTCTCACTGAGATTCATCTCTATTCCATTAAAAAAGGATAGAGAATAAAATAGAAAATATCTTATTGCCTCTATATAAATCCATGGTACGCCCACATCTTGAATACTGCATACAGATGTGGTCGCCTCATTTCAAGAAAGATATATTGGCATTGGAAAAGGTTCAGAAAAGGGCAACATAAATGATCAAGGGTTTGGAACAGGTCCCATATGAAGAGAGATTAAAAAGACTTGGACTTTTCAGCTTAGAAAAGAGGAGACTAAGGGGGGGATATGTTAGAGGTCTATAAAATCATGACTGGTGTGGAAAAAGTGAATAAGGAAAAGTTATTGACTTATTCCCACAATAGAAGAACTAGGGGGTCACCAAATGAAATTAATAGGTAGCAGGTTTAAAACAAACAAAAGGAAGTTTTTCTTCACTCAGTGCACAGTCAATCTCTGGAACTCCTTGCCAGAGGATGTGGTGAAGGCTTGGACTTTAACAGTGTTCAAAAAATAGCTAGATAGATTCATGGAGCTTAGGTCCATCAATGGCTGTTAGCCAGAATAAGTAGGAATGGTGTCCCTAGCCTCTTTCTGTGGAGGTGGGTGACAGGGGAGGGATCACATTAGGATTGCCTGTTGTGATCCCGCCCTCTGGGGCATCTGGTATTGGTCACTGTCGGCAGACAGGATACAGGGATGGATGGACTGTTGGTCTGACCCGGTATGGCCATTTTTATGTTCTTAAGAGGATGGAAATTATAAATATTCATTCTGTAGTTCTGGCAGAGTCAGCCACCTCCCTGGCACTCATGGCCAGAGATGTTGCTGGGCTGCTCTGCCAATCATGTCCCTCTCAAAAGGCTTCTTAAATAAACACTGCCTGGGCTTTTCTTGTCCATTCACCACCATTTTTCCAAGTTTATTCACATAAACAATGCTCTAAAATAAAATAGTCCCAACACACAGTCTATCAGTCTTATCATGTCGTTCCTAGGCTTTTCCTGCCTTTAGTGTCTATAGGGAAGCAATACAAGCCTTTCTGATGGAGCCTGATCCTTCCCAGCATGCTCCTGTTCACCATACTACTCCCAGGCCTTCTGCCTGCGGCCTTTCCTGCTTGGCCGCTCCCAGGTCAAAGTCTCAGGTTTCTACCTCTAAGCATCCAAGCCCCTAGATATTAATGTTGCCTCCCCTTTAGGATTGGCCTGGCATCTCCCAGAATCAGCATTAATCTTCTGGTGATTATTGAAAGCAATCCTGGAGGATTTAATAGAATACTTTAAGAACATTACAGGCAGTCCCCGAGTTACGCGGATCCGACTTATGTCGGATCCGCAGTTACGAACGGGGCTTTTCTCGCCCCCGGAGGACGGGAGCGGCGGGACACCCAGATGCGCCGCGGTCCGCTGCCCCCGTCCTCCAAGGTGAGAAAAGCTGCTCCCCGTCTCCCTGGTCTGCAGGGAGACGGGGAGCAAAGCCTTGGAGCACGC